CCCGCCGGAGGCTTCCGCTGGCCGACCGCTACGCGCTGCTGCACTGGCACAACCAGGTGTACCCCAGGTGAGCTGGGTCCCGCGGAGATGCACACCTAGGGGCACACAGAGCCACTGCCCCCAGCCTTGGCCTCTTCAGGTCCCGAGGGCCAAGGCACAGCTGAGGCTTCACCCCAGCACGTCAACACCCCTGACCTTTCCTCCAGTTTTGAGCGTTAGTGGCATCTGCCATCGTAGGGCACGGCCGGGCACGGCCCACCCTGCTGCTGGAAGCTTAGCTCTTTGGACTCTGCCAGGTTCTTAGCTTCCAGGAGGCCTGGGAATTAACTACAGGCCTGGCCACTCTGCTGGTCCCAGATTCTTAGCACCACAGGGCTTTCCAGACCTAGAACTCGGAAGCTTTCCAGGCCTAGAATCTAGAGCCGGATGGACTCTTCTAGAAACCTAGCACCGTGGACCCCGCCGGTCCTCGCCCTGGGAAGTTCAGTCCCAGCATCGGTGCCCACACACGTCCCACACGGGAGCCTCACTTGGCAACTCTGGCCTTGCAGACCTAGATCCTAAGCACAGCTCACGCTCAGTCCTCACTCCACAGTGTTACTCAGGCCTGGAATCCATGCCCTGGACTCCGAGAACTTCAGGATTGTCAACATTTACACTCTCGGACCCCTAGCCCTGCCCACGCTCCCCAGAATCTGAGCCTCCCGAACCTTCCAGACCTAGACCCATTAGCAACACTGGGCCTTGCAGTTCTGGACTCTCAGCCCGACCCACTGCCCCAGGGGCCCTGCGGCTCCGAGACCCTTGGCCTCGTGGATCCGTGTTGGTCTCAGCCCCCTTGTGCTCTCCGCCTGGGGCCCGAGCACACTGACCGTTCTGTCTCTAATCTCGGTGATGCTGATCTGCACCCCAGACTCTTAGCATCGCTGACCCCCCCTTTCCCTGTAACTTGACCGTGGTGACCCCTAGACCCACTCCTCGGTGCTCCCTCCAGGGCATCCTACTACTGACTCCTGTCATCTTTGAGCTTTAGAATCGACACTTTCACTCCCAGAACCTCAGCACCCACAAGCCTTTGACACCCAGACCTTAGCCTCTCCCCTGCCCGGGTCCTAGGCCTCTCACACCCGATTCAGAGGACCGGGGCACCGTCGGTCCGTCGACGTCTGTCTTCTAAGCATCCAGAACCCCAGCACCATCAGCAATCTCAGTCCTAGACTCACAACTCTGCAGTCTTCACACCCTAAACATAGCCATCCTGGGGGGATGGAATGTGACAGGGCACCCCACCTGCCCCCCTACCCACTCTATGGAGGAACAAGCTGGCCACACCCAAAGGCTGGACAGTGAAAGGCTTCCACAAACAAAATCAGGATGCTGTCACTAGAAAAACGGGGGACAACGGCTGCCAGCCTCCCCCTGGCCCCCCTGGGAATGCTGTTCACGGCATTTTCTCTCGCCATCTGTGGGAGACGCAGGCAGGATAGGGAGTCTGGAAAGCTTCCTGGAGTGATGAGAAATGAGCTGCGTCCCCTGTGTAGGGAGATGGTGCTCTGGCTGAGGAGTACAGGCCTGGGGGTGCGGGTGGGGCACTGGGGTGCCTGGTGTTGCACAGCCACAGTGCAAAGGGGGGCTCCGGCCAGGTGAGAGGGCAGGGACTCGGAGGCGGAGGTGGAAGCGTGGGGGAATGCCTGTGTCTGTCCAGAGAAGCCTTTCTCGGGGCGACATCGCGTGCCAGGTCGTCAAGCCTGGACTTGACCCTGACGTGTCTTGCTGGGACACCATCCATCAGGGAGCTGACTCAGAGCTGGAGCCAGGGGAGCAGCTATTCCAGAGACTTCCTCTGAGGGATGAGCAAAGCTGGCCCAGAGAGGAAGGGAGTGGCTTGGGGTCGCAGACTTGGCAGGTTGGGAGCAGGGAGGGAGGATTTGACTGCCCAGTCCTGCCTCTCACCGCCATCCCTATCTCTTACCCCCATGACTAGAGAGGTCCTAGGGCTGGTGGATATGATCGCCCTGGAGAATGGGGAGCTGGGGCCCCTTCTGTCCCCTGGCACCCTGCGCAGCTTGGAGGATGAATGTGTCACAGATGTTAAGGTACCAGGACTTAGCATTGGCCATTGGGGGCTGGGAGGCTCACTGGTGGGTGGGAGGGGTCACACCAGTTTGGGAGGGTCTCTCTCCTCCCCCTTTGGCTATTTCCAGCTCCTTCTCCCCTTTAGGATTCCTGAGTTCTGTCCAAAAGACAGGGAAATGTAAGTCTCTACGACTGACTTGTCTCTTGAGGCCTTTTGTCGTATCCCAAGAGACGCAGAGATGCAGCACAGGCTCCGTGCAGGGGCCGCTGCAACTCAGAGCGGAGCAGGACAGGCAGCCCCAGCAGCTCAGCTACAGACCCAAAGCCGACGTGGAAAGTCGTCACAAGGCACCAGGGCAGTTTCCCTCTTCATGTCGGTTGTGCCTCAGAAGCAGAATCCGTGCACCCGAGAGCCCAGAATCCTAGACTGGAACTCGCCTGCATTCTCAGACTCACTGTAGGCAAATTCTGGGCCACAGAATCCGAGATGTGTAAACTGCAGAATCCCAGGTGCCCGGAATTCGTGAGGACACAGAATCTGAGACTCTCGAACTACTGGGTTGTCAGAAAAGTCATGATGTATTTTTTTCTGGTTTTCAAGCAAAAAAATCTGTTAGGATTTTTCGGACAACCCCATCATTGTCTTGCAGATTCTGAGAGCAGGGTGCTGAGGCCCATCCAGTCAGAGCGCCCCGACCTGAAATAGACCCAGGACCCTGAAATAGACCCTCTCTGGCTGTTTGGTGCAAGGAGCTTAAAGCCCCAGACCGGATGAGAAATTCCCGTCGGAGGGAGGCTCTGGGCTGCGGAGGCTTTTTGATCCGGCTCAGGCTCCGGGGATCTGTCATGGCGGAAAGGGAGAGAGAGGCACCCAATAGCCCCCCCGCCCAATAGCCTCTCCCACCCCCTTTCCAGGCTCAGACTCGGGCAGCTCTGCTGCGGGTGCTGCAGGACGACGAGGAGTTCTGGGGGAGCCCAGAGGACAGGCCAGGCAGCCTGGCACAGGACGTGTGTGAGGTGGGACCGAGAGGAGGGAAGGGACCGCTGGGCTGGCTGGGGGGGGCCTCACCCCTGCTCACCCCTCCTCATCCCTGGATCATGCAGCTCCTGGAAGAGCACACCGAGCGAGCACCCCGCATCAGCCAGGAGTTTGGGGAGCGGATGGCCCACTGCTGCCTGGGGGGGCTAGCAGAGTTCCTGCAGAGGTACGCGGGCTGGGGCGGGGCTCAGGTCTGGGGGCAAACAGCAGGGTCCAGCAGAAGTGAGATACAACGGGGTACGGGCGCGTAAGTGGGGCTCACAGGCTTCGCTGGGTGGTGCCCACCTGTCATGCCCCTTTCCCTCGCCTCCCCCCAGCTTTCAGCAGCGCGTGGAGCGGTTCCACGAGAACCCGGCCGTCCGGGAGCTGCCACCCGACGTCTACATCAGCAGGACTATCTCCCTGGTCAACTGCGGGCCCCCCCTGAGGTGAGGGCCCCTCTGTGCGGGCGGGAGAAGGCGGCTTCTGGTTGACAAGCCAGCCGGGGATGCTTGGACCCTGAAAGGAAGCTGCAGGCCTAGCCCAGAGGGGCAGGGACTGCATGAAACTGGGGGGCCTTAGGAGAACCCCCGCACCACACAGGAGAATGATCACACAGGAGAATGACAGGATCTTCATGACTCTGGCACCTTAGAAACAGAGCAGCCACACCCAGACGCTCTAAGAATTGCACATCTTTCTGTCTTTTCATCTTACTTTCCTTTCCTATGAACTTCATTTGGATTGCATTTTTTTAACCGGGTGATGTATTCACATGGTTTAACATGCAAGACACAACAGGGCAGACCCCACACTTCCCCCCAACTTCTAGGCCACCAGTCTCTGCTCCTCTCTCCCCCATCTTTGCAGAAGCATCTAATCCATTTAAATGCATGCAAATCTATATATACACCTCATACATACACATAAATATGCGTGCATATTCTGTTCAGATGTGTAGTCCACACATACAACTATATTAAGTGCATAGATAGATCATTTCCTTTCCATTCTAAAGTATTTTTTTAAAGACTTATTTATTGGGCCTCCCTGGTGGCGCAAGGAGTTAAGTCTCAGCACTGTGAAGCTATCACCAGCCACTGCAGCACAAATTTGATCCCCAGCTGGCCAGGGAGTGACCCACATGGCACAGCAGACCTCTCCTGTCTCCCTGCTGCTCCCCTCAGCAGATCTGCCTGTTCTGCTCCCCACTCTGTGTCTGGTGAGTCCTCTCCACACTTCTCTACCCTATACCTCTGGCCTGTACCCCCAGCTCTTGTATGCATAAGTAAATAAGACTTTTTAAAAAGATTTGCAAACAAGAACTGGGGTGTAGGCCAGAGGTGGGGAGGTGAGAGGATTCCCCAGAGACAGAGCGGGGAGCAGAACAGGCAGAGCTGCTGAAATCCACTGCTGAGGGGAGCAGCGGGGAGACAGGAGAGGCCTGCTGGGCCCTGCTGCTCCCTGCCCAGATCAAACTCGGGCCACAGCGGTGACAGTGCTGAGCCTAACCTCTGGCCACCAGGGAGGCCCCTCCTTCCTTTTGGTATTAAAAGTAAACGGAAGGCATGAGAACAGTCTGCTCCTGTCCTTGTAACATCTCGGAGAGCTTTCTGTTGACCATCAAGAATTCCTACCTTCCTTTTCCGGACCTGAGGATCTGAACTGTATTCTGCTGTTGGGTGCAGCCTGGTTTGTCTCATCTGTCCCCAGGGATGCACAGCTGGCTCCGCCCGGCCAGCCCCCTCGTGTGGGACCCAGGGACACATTCCCGGGGAGCCCGCGATTGGGTAGACAGTGCCCAGCTGCCTACGACCGGGCTGTTCTTTCAGCAAAGGAGGGTCAGCTGTCGCCAGGACAAGGAGTGGGCTAGAACTGGGGGAGCCTAGATGCTCAGGGTCAGACTTCAGAATGGCGGCCACCCCACTCTCACCCAGAAACACCAGAGCGACTCATTCCCTCCCCACACACCTGTTACCCCTGTGCCCACAAAATTGGGTCCATTTATGAGGAGCCCCAGGCACGGGGCTGAGCTACGGGGCCTCCTGACTGTTGGCCCCACTGATGTCCACAGGGCTCTGGCTGAGCGCCTGGCCCGGGTGGGGCCCCCAGAAAGTGAGCCGGCCCGGGAAGCAGCAGCCAGTGCGCTGGCCCGAGTGACCCGGCTCTGCCACCGCGTCCTGGCCGACCTGCTGTTCCAGGAGCTACAGGTGAGTGTGGCAGGGAGCTGGGGGGAGCTTGTGCCAGGAGCGGGGATGAGGCTGTCCATCCACAGTTCCTCTGAACCCTTGAACCCGCGACTCAGTGCTCGGGAAACAGGCAGAGGTGGGGATGATGGCCGCATCTGGGCTGCTTGGGGGTGGGTGGGGGGTGCAGGAAGGAAGAGGTGGGAAGTTATAGTCACGGGGAGCATCAGAGGGGGGACCCTAAGACTGGACGGAGTCCTTCCCCACTGAGGTCCCCCAAGCCCCTGCCCAGCCTGTCCTGGACTCTGAAGCCGCCATTTCAGGCTCCTCTGCCCAGAGGGGGCTGTGGGGGGGAAGTGGGACCTGGGACAAGACAGGGTGATGTGTCCCGGTTGTCACAAAAAGCCTAGCCCATGCTGTACCTCAGACTCGTCCCCATGGCTTCCAGCTCTTTCAGAGCAAGAGCCAAAGACCTCGCCCGCTCCCTGCGCCCACGGTGAACATGCCCTTTCCTTCTCTGATCGCCTCTCCCCCACTTTCTCCCTTGTTATTTCACCTTTGGTCCTCCACCTCAGGACCTTTGCACTCGCTGTGCCCACGGCGTGGGCCACTCTTTCCTCCGGCAGGCCTCTTTTCCAGCTAGACCCAGATGTCGCCTTCTCAGGGGACGCTCCCTGACTGCTCCTTTCACGCGGAGATGCCTCAGACCCCTCCCCGCCACGCTCATCCCCAAGGCACGCACTGCTATCTCCTTAAAAGAAAATTTGTCTCGTCTCTCTGGAATGTTAGCTCCTCAGAGGCAGGACTTGGTTGGAAGGTTTCTCAAGTCACTTTTTATTATGGAAAATTTCAAATGTGATGAAAAAGAGGCCGCGACAGTCTGGCCCAGTACCCAGCCCCGGCCAATGCACGCATCCCCACACCTCCCTCCCACTGGATTCTTCTACAGCAGAGTCCGGACGCCCTGTCCTCACACATCAACATTTCACCCTACATCTTCAAAAGATAAGGAGCCTGTTTCAAACAAACAGAACCATCCCGCCATTTTCATACGCAACTCAGGGAACCACCATCCCTCAGTGTCATCACGTTTCAGCTCAGGAGTCACAGTCCCCCGACATGCTTTTAGTTATTAGCGAGACCTGGGCATATGATTGGTCTCCTGCGCTGTGTCCTTGAGCATTCTCTCATGTGTCCCCAGTGATCCACCTGGGCTGGGCCAGCGTAAGGGCTCAGAATGCTTGTTGAATGACTAAATGGACAAATACGTGAATCAAAGGGAGTGGGTGGGGGCAGAGCAAGGGGTGCAAGGAAGACAGTTTCTGCTCCAAGCCTGGCTGCCTGCTTGCAGGCAGGGGGACCTGAGGTGAGGTGCTTGCCCTCTCAGGGTCTCTGCTTGTTCATCTGGGCGATGGGCAGGCTTCCCAGGTGGCCATGAGAAGCAATGGGATTGCAGCCATAGGTGCTTAGCTGGGTGTGGCCACCGTTATCTCCGCGAATGCAGCCTGCATAGCAACAGCAGCTTGTCCTGGGCCCTTTGCTGGGCTAACAGCATGAGCTCATCTTATTTGCACTCATTTTGCAACAAAAGGCCCCATTTTGGAGGTTCAGAAAACTGGGTGTCTGTGGGAATGAGCAGGAAAGGGGTGCTGCCGAGTGGGACAGACACCACCTTCTGACTCCCATGGACGGCAGCCCCATCTGTCCCCAAACCCCTCACACCCCCACCACAGCAGTCTGTATCGCAGGGACAGACCCACTGTGCAGCCCACCTCCAGAGTAGCCTCCAGGGGCCTCCCTCCGTTCCCCCAAGTGGCCACTCACTTGGTTCTATGAACTGATCGCTTGGATTCTCCAATCCCCCCTCCCACCCCCTTTTCATTCTCTTCTCTTCTCCTTTTCCTCCTTCCGTCTTCCCCTCGCTGATGCCTGCCTCATCCATTTCAGCGAAGCACAAACTTGGCCTCCTCCCTCTCTTGCTCAAAACCTGCCATGGCACCCCAGCACCCTGAGTAAACAGTTGGGGCTCCTCACACAGCCCAGCAGGCCCTTCAGCTCTGCCCCCCCAATCAACCCCACGGCTCTACCCCTATTGCCAGTTCCAGCTGCCAGGGCTGTGGAGCTGGGCAGCCCCCCAGGACACCTCCTCTCTTAGAAGGGCCCAAACTTGGTTTAATGCTCTGCTGTCACTGTGTAGAAGCTTCTAATACTTTTCACACAAAGCTGCCAGACTTTCATGTTGCATGAGGCACCGTCCTGACCCTTCTGGCTCTGACTGGCAAGCCCACCTGAAACGGGCACCTTTTCCACATTAGTTCTTCCCGCTTCTGCTTTAGCGCCTCACCTCTGGTGCCCTCTCCTCCAGGAAGCCCTCCATGACTATGCTAACTCGGGGTTCCCAAGCCACTGCCTGCCCACTCTGGGTGGTCACTGCCTGGGGAGCCATCTGTTTCCCCATCTAGACAGTGAGCCCCAAGAAAAAGGGGGCAGTGTGTGCCCCCAGCACTGCACAGCCCTGGTTCCACGAGGTTCTGGTAACACACATGGACTTGGTAAATGAAGACACACGGTGGAAGGGAGAGAGCAGTGGTCTTTTCCCCATCCTGTCCCACCCAGCCACACTTCAACAAGCTGATGCGCAGGAAGTGGCTGAACAGCACGGAGGCTTTGGATGGCATCCTGGGCACCCTGGGTGCACAGGCCCTGGCACTGCGAAGGATGCAAGATGAGCCTTATCAGGTGCGCAGGGGGAGGGCTGGGGGGCAACCGCTGGGGAGTGGCAGGGTGAGATGGGCCTGCATAGGCGGCTCTGGCCCTGGGTTACTAGGGTGTTGGCCGGGTGCAGACTGCTTTGGGACCTATGGGAGATGAAGCCCGGATAATGGGGTGAAGCCTGGGATGGGATGGGGCACCTTTTGAGGGTGGGCGGGGGTGTCTGCGCACTGAATAGGGGCAGAGGAAGGTGCTATCAAGTAGCTCAGAGCTGCCCCTGGGGACTTCGGGGCTACCGCGGGTGGGGGTTCACCCGCGGCTCGCGCCCCGCGCGTCTCCCCCGCATCCCGTCCCAGACGCTGGTGGCCGAGCTGCACCGGCGGGCGCTGGTGGAGTACGTGCGGCCGCTGCTCCGCGGGCGCCTGCGCTGCCGCTCGGCGCGGACCCGCAGCCGCGTGGCCGGGAGGCTCCGGGACGACGCGGCGCAGCTGCAGCGGCTCTTCCGGCGGCTGGTGAGTGCGGGCCAGGGCGGGGGTCTCGGAAACCACGGAAAACCGGGGCTGCAGCGAAGCCTGGGGGCGCCGGCAGGGGTTTGAAACGCGCCCCTCGCCAAGTTTCAGCCTAGGGCAACCTTCGCACCCTTGCGCACTGCGCGCGAAGTGGAGCTCTCGCCGGGACTCGGGGCTCGCCTCTGGGCGCTCTCCCGGGCTGTGGGGGAATCGGGATTCCGTACGTAACCTTGATTGTGGGATTAGTTCAGTTAATCCTCCCCCCCCCACCCGCCTCGCGCAAACTGAGCCTCTTCCCGGGCTCACGCTACAGCTATTCCAGGAGCTTCCAGCTTGCAGTCCTTGGAATGTTTTTCGCTTTTTGTTTTTGTTTTTGTATGTGTGCATGTGGGCGGGGGGGGGGCGCCCAATAACGGTAGTCAGCCGCAGTTGTAACAAAACAAAGAGCGCAGAGAGAACGCCTGTCCACGCACCCCCTTCACCCGGTGGTGACATTTTGCAAACTTGGGCTAGGTGTTGAGGGGAGCCCCAATCACCTGCAAAACTGGCAGTGGCCGATGGCGTGGATTTTTCTTCAACTATTTTTTGTCCGAAAACGTTCGGACAAAGGTTCCGGATGAGGCCGGCCACAGCCAGCCCTGTGCTTTATTTAACCGCGGAGGAAACTGAGGCCAGGAGGGGCGGGGCCTTGGGGCGCGGCCCGGGAGGAGGCCGCGGGGCGAGAGTGAGCCGGCGCCGCTCCCCGCAGGAGTCCCAGGCCACCTGGCTGGACCCACTGGTGCCCCACTTGGCGGAAGTCCTGCAGCTAGAAGACACGCCCAGCATCCAGGTGGAGGTGGGGGTGCTGGTGCGGGACTACCCAGACATCAGGTGAGCGCCCCCCACCCCTCGCCCTCCCGCTCCTCGCTCTCGCTCGCTCGCGGCAGCCAGCCCAGCTCTCCCAGGGGGCCCTGGCATCCGTCCTTGTCCTTGCGTTTCCTGCCCCTTGGCGAGGGAGGGAGGCGGCGAGCGTGTCTGACGGCCGTTTCCTGATGGAAGCAGGGCATTATTAATACGATTTCCCTCCTTCTCCTGCCGCCGCCGCCGCCGCCGCCATCAGGGCTCTCAAACAAACAGTCAGTCACAGGAAGCCCAGGGCAGGGGGAGCGCGGGCGCCGGGCGGCAGGAAGGGCCGGCCCAGCAGGGGGAGTCGCGGGGGACAGGGACGGCAGGGCACACGGGTGCACACGCACGGGACGGTGCCAGGCGCTGTTCCCAGCGGGGGGGGGGGCATTTCCTTTCTGAAAGTCCCTCTCTGGGCCTCAGTTTCCTCACCTGCTGTCGGGTGTCGCAGGGCTCTTTTCACCCTCCCTCGTCACCAGCAACGGTGATGCAGTAAACACCAGTCCTGGCTTACTGTGCCCTCTGTCAGAACCTAAGAGAGCACCTTACACATCCTCCCTATCGAGCCCACCCACAATAAAAGCTGGTCTACAACATCATGCAGAAGCTTTCCCCGCACGTCACAGCTAGCAGTGACAAAGCCGCGACTCGGCCAGCGGACTCAGTGGACTCTGCCCACTCCCGTCTGTGCCCGTCAGGCGGAGGGGCTGCCGCCCCGCTCTCCAGGCAGACGGACATTCGGACATTCAGTAGCCAGAGGGACAACCCCACGCCAGCGCAGAGAGAGCCACCACTGGGGTTTAGGCTCCGGGGTGGGCGTCGCGGGTCCTGGAGCTGATTCAGGACGGAGGAGGCTTCTGGTTCTGGGCTTTGAGCCTCACGTGCCTGACAGGCGCACGGAGCCCTGGACTCCATGACTGGGGCTTCTGAACCTGGCTTTGAAGCTCAGTGTGAGAGCGGTCAGCTGGGCTGGGAGACGCTGACTCGAAGCCAACTTTGGGGTTCTTGAACCACATTTGGGGTGAAAATGATGATCCTGACCCTCTAGGGTGTGGGAAAATAAAGGTGCTGAACTGGGGTGAAGGTGGTAGTGAAGGTCATGGAGCGCTACTTGAGAGGAAGGCTCTGGATGGATGTTGGGCTCAGGATTTTGAGTTGAAATAGGATGGTCCAGGTTCTGAAGGTGACTTCTGGGTGGGTGACCTGGAGCTGAGGTGGGAGCAAGAAGATTCTATTGTGTCAAATTTAGGGGTGATTTGGTTTCGAGCATGAAGTTTCCGATTGGAGTGAGGATCTCTGAGGTGGGGTTTTGTACCACAGTATAGTTTTGTTTGATGGTACTGTGATTCTGAAATGGGTTGAACGGGGGGGGGGGGAGATGAAGGTTCTAGAATGGCACCTGGTTGAGAGATCCTGAGCTTTGGCTGAGGCCTCTGGCACTGCAGTGGTAGAGAATTCCACAACCTGGCTTTGGGTAAGGTGAGAGTCTGGGTGGAATGTGGGTGAACATGGGGTTCAGTGTGATGATGGTAGTGGTGGTGGAGATAAAATGACAGGTTCATGGAGTCCAGGGCTCAGGGAAACAGGCATGCTGGCACCAAGGTGGAAATTTAGGAGCTAACTGAGCTAAGCTAGGGTGAAGGTAGACAGTTATTTAACCAGGACCTGAGACCAGGGTGAAAAGGAAGCTTCTGTGCTGGGTTTGGAGGTGAAGGTTTTGGAACCAATCATGAGTAGGAAGATCTGGAAATAGCTGGAAGTGAAATTCTAGAAGGGGACCAGAATGGGGGAGCTCCTGGGGGAACTGGTGTAAAGGGAGACATCTGGGGGGGACCTAGTATAGGTCTGGTAAGAGGGAGGGCTTGGGGTTACTGCGGAGAGCTACCTAGGGGTCTGTGGGAGGTCTAGGGGGCTGGAAAATAGGGGGCTTAGGGGGCCTGGGGTAAAGGTGATATCTGGGGGGCTGGGGGAGGAGGGGTTTGAGGAGACTGGGGTAGGAAGACACCTGGAGGGTCGCAGAGGGACCTGCGCTCTGGGGGTCTGGGCAGGGGGCCGGCGGGCGTGTGCACCTGTCCCTCCCTCCCCAGGCGGAAGCACGTGGCGGCGCTCCTGGACATCCGCGGCCTGCGCAACACGGCGGCACGCCACGAGATCCTGGCCGTGGCCAGAGACCTGGAGCTGTCCGAGGAGGGTGCCCTGTCACCCCCTCGGGACAGGGCCTTCTTTGCGGACATCCCCGTGCCCCGCCCACCTTTCTGCCTGGGACTCCCTCTCTTCCTGGGCCGCTTGCCCCTCTCCCGGCTGGCCCGGCCCGGCCTGGCCTGTCTGCCCCGGCCTCGGCCTCGGCCTCCCTCGAGGCCTCGGGCACAACGCTGACACTCTCCTCCCGCCTTCTGCCTCAGTGTCCCCATCTTTGCTGCTGACAAACTGCCCTCCTGTACAGCCCCCACTCCTGGCTGCCCGGGACCACAGAGCCCTGGGATGGAAAGATCCTTAGTGGTGTCCCTACTCACCCTCGAAGCCCTGTACAGAAGAAAAACAGGCCAGAGGGAGCAAGGACTTTCCCAAGGCCACGCACGAAGCAGGTTCCCAGCCCTCCTCCCCAGCCCAGCCTGTGGTGAGCTGCGTTCTGGAAGGCTCTACAGAAATATCCAGCCACCCCCCTCCACCCCGCCCTTTCCCCTCACCTCAAGGTCTGGCCCAAATCCAACGTATTAAGGAATGTACGACACTTAGAATAAAGAGGTTTCTATTTAACACAAGGAAGGGCTGAGTCCCCAGTGTGTGGGGGAGGAAGGATGGGGGCAGGGCGCAGGGCCAAGGGTTTCTCACACGCCCAAGGCCAGCCCGGCCAGGGTCCAACTCTCAGGCACTGCAGTAGAGGCTGAGGGCGGCTCCACAGGCCTGGGCTGCCCACGGACACCAAGCCCGGAGGCGGCGTGACTCTGCGGCGGCCTCAGCCGCTCCGAGCCAGGACCCCTCGGTCTGTCAATGCCAAGCGCCTGTCCTTCGGCCCCGGGCCTGGCACTTCCACCTTGGCACGCGTGCCCCATCCATCCTTGGCCGGGAAGCTGTGTCAGGAGAGGAAGGAGGTTGGGGGCAGGGCGGGCAACATCCAGGACGCCCTCCTGGGTTGACGCAGGAAAATCTCAGGGTGGGAAAAATTCCAGCCTCTCACCCCCAGCCCCCTGCCGGATTCTGGTCCCCACCGAGACCTTGAGGTCATCTCCCTGCTGACCCCTGCCCCTCCGGCCCGGCTGGACAGTCTATGATGGATGCTTCCTGGCGTGGTTTTTTTTTTGTGTTTTTTTTTTTTTTCTCCTCCTGAGAAATCGGAAGGAGGAGGCAGCCAGGGGTCAGTGTTGGGGCTGGGGTTGGAACCTCACGCACGTTTGAACTCAGACCTCTTGGAGCCCCAGGGCGTGTGACCCCCCCCCCCCAGCAGGGAAGTTCTTTTCTGGGCTGTGGTTTCTGTCCCTCTCTGGGGAATTGCTTGACCTTTCTGGGCCCAGGATAAGGTGAGGAGGCCAGGTGATGCCTATCACTTCAACTTCGAACAGGACAGCTCCATGTCAGACATATGCGAGGAGCTGCGGTAACTGCCCACGTTTAATTAAAGATGCATTTCCCTGAGATTGGCAGGGCTCTTAAGATGCCCGCACCCCATTTCAGAAGTCATCGTACTGAAATACGATGTATAAAGCAAATGATCCAGCTCTACAAGGTGTGGGGTTCGGCTGGTCCTCACTCTGCAGGCTGCGTGACACATACAACTCAGGTCACATCTAACATGTCCTATCTTAGGGCACTTTCACTGCTACAGAGAAACCTGCCTCGTCAGCCGTCACCCCAGCCCCTCCTCTCTCAGTCACTGGCGACCACGGGTCTTTTTGTCTGTGACGTGCCTGTTCTGGACAGTTCTGATGAACAGGATTCTGTAGCGTGCAATCTGGGTGGGGGTGCGTACGCTGGTGTGTTAAGTGTAGGTAGCTTGAAGCTGCCGGGTGACACATTTGTGAGTGGACAGTACGGTGCTGCTGCCTGCAGGTGTCGCCTCCGGGCACCCCGGGGTGCCAGCTCTGTAACCACAGAAGGGCAGATGTCTGGAGCGCATTCTCCTGTGCAGCTGTCTTTATGCACCCGCTAAGCTCCCTGAGCCCCCACTCTGTTCCTTTTGTCTGCAGGTCTGTAAATGGACTGGGGGGGGGTGCTCATGGCCTGAACCTTCTGTCCTCCTCCAGGATCGTCCCTCTGGTCACAAATGGCAGGACTGCCTTCTTTGTTTTACATTCCACTATGTACATACATACATACATACATGCATACATATTATGTGTGTGTGCTATATATATATATATATATATAGAGAGAGAGAGAGAGAACCACCATTGCTTTATCCATTTTTGGGGTGTTTCCACATCCTGGCTACTGTGAATAAATACGAGGCCTTTTGTGTGGCTTCCCCACATCGTGTGGTCATCTTCTTGTTGAGTAATATCCCCTGATATTCTATTGGACAGTATATTTGTTACCTGTATTTATTTATCCACACTTTTATTCTTGCGTGTGTCTCCGGGTGGGCACTTAGGTCTCTACTTTGGAGTTTTGAGGAACCTGGTGCCCCACATTTTCTTGGTGCCCTTCCCACAAGCTCCGGCTTCTCTCAGATTCTCATTTTCCACTTCAATGAAATGGTGCGGACCTGTATTCAGCACTCGCTGCATACCCCGCAGCGTGCCGAGGAGTTGGGGCGCCCCACCCGGTGGTCAGCAGACCACTCCGGGCAGGGTGGGGCGGGGCCAAGGCGGTCACGTGCGAGAAATTCCCACAGGTGCTGACCAATCGCGAGGCCACAGCAACGTCACCTGTCTGGGCGCACGCAGGGACGAGCTTGCAAATCCCGCCAGCACCTTTTCTGCCCTGGTCGGGACCACGGGGTTGCTCTGCCAGGCTTCACTGGGTGTCCTGTATTTGGTGGCGGCCCTGGGCCCTGAGGAGGGGCTTGAATTCGGCGAGAAGCGGCGGATTAGGCACCCGATGGGCGCAGGATGTGAGGGCAGAAGAGACCAGGGCCCAACCCCAACCACACAGACTACCGCGAGCCCTCAGCCCAGCCTCCCGGGTCCTGCCTGCCAGGCCTGCCGCGGGAGGGTGGGCGGGCGGCTAAGTGGGCGGCGCTTGCTGCCCAGCCCTCGCCGGCCTCCCCACCACCCTGGGAGGTGAGGGCTGGTACTGTCCGCGGAGCACCCGGTCCCCGGGGTCGCGAGGGTCATTCTGGCCACACAACCATGAAGTGGTCAAGCACTCCAGATGGGGGGAAAGATGAAGGCAGATGGGGAGGGGGCGCTATTCAGAAGGGCCGCGGTCATGTCCCTTTCTGGAAGTCCATCCCATTCCTCGAGTCTCCATTCCCTTCTCTGCTCCACTCTCCTTTGGAGGCCTACTCCTTCAGAGTGCCGGGGGCTCTAAGCCCCACCTCTCACTTGGATACCCTCTGAGCCCCGGAATCCCATGCTTATTAATTTATCTATCTATCCGTCTACCATCCATCCATTCACCAGGCATCCATCTTTCTGAGTTCACCCTCTGCCCTTGTGCAGACAGTGTCCTTATGGGATTGACAGTCTAGTGGCGGGGAGACATATCTACCACCCGTAGTCATCAGGGACACAGTGGGGGAGCTCCCAGAACTGAAGGAACCCAAGAGGTGCCTGGCCTTGCTAGGAACCAGGGAGGGCTTCCTGGAGGAAGCAACATCTGTGCCGAGATCTAGTCCACACCTGGACACAGACATGGTTCCTGCCATTCACAATATCCCAAGGCCTGAAGAAGGAAATTAGAACCAATAAATCCACACATTTGCTTATAGTCTTGCCTGGTGCGTTGTGTTATACACATGAAGCAGTCTGCGGAGGGAAATTTAAAATACACACATCCTTAAACTCAGAAACCCCACTTCTAGGAGTACATGTTTTTGTGATACACGCAGTGGTACAAATGTGACACCAGAAGGAAGAAGAAAGTCACCTGTACACTGTTCAAAGTAGCAAAGATGGAAAACAGCGAACACACAAATGAGTAAACTGAGTCGGACAGAGCCCCAGATGAGGGACCGCACCTCATGTCTGATAGGGAGTCTTCCAAGAGACACGGGAAAATGCAAACTGCAGGACAGTGTGCAACACATCTATAATTTTATCTCCAGATAAAGATGCAACCCAATGTGCACTCACAGTTATCTCTGGGGAATAAGATTGGAGGGAGAAAGGAGCTCCCTACCTCCAAATTCTGAAATGTTCTCTTTGGGTTTTAGTTTTTACTTCTTAGAGAAGTGTCATAAATACACAAAAAAGGCATGTGGATCTTTTGTGTAAAAGTCAAGGAATTCCCACAAGTGAACACACCTATGTCACTAACACCGGTCGAGAAATAAACTTTTGGGCTCCCTGGTGGTGCAGAGGCTAAAGACAGCACTATCAAGCTACCCCAGCCACTGCCACACAAGTTCAATCCCCTGCTGTCCAGGGGCTAACCCATGTGACGCAGCCGACCTCGCCTGTCCCCCTGCTGCTCCCCTTAGCAGCGTGTTTCAGTAGATCCACCTGTTCTGCTCGCCACTCTGCCTCTGGGGACTGCTCTCACATACCCCACACCTTTGGCCTACACCCCAGTTCTATGCAAAATAAAAATCTTACAATAAAGGAAGAATTCTTTAAAAAAAAAAAAAAGCTTTTGAATCACCTTGTCATTTTCTATTAGAGTTTGATGGAATTCAGTTGGTTTATTTCTGGGCCCTTCACTTTGGTACCCTTGATTTGTCTATCTTTACGCCAGTAACACATTGTTGGACTACTGCAGGATTTATTTGTTGTATAATAAATCCTGAAATCAGACATTTAGCTTTGCCACTTAGTTGTCTTGGTCATTATTATTCCTTTGCATTTCCATGAAATTTTAGAATCATTTTGTTACTCTTGATAAAAAATATTGTTGGGATTGCATTAGGGCGATAAACAGAATCGGCATCTTTCCAACACCAGCCTTCCAAATGATGAATACGGTTTATGTTGGTTTTCATTAAATTTCTGTTATAGCAGCTCTCAGTCCACTTGTGCCCATGCAGGTGTCTTTTTTTTTTTTCCCCCTTTCTTTATAAAATTAAAAATTTTTTTTTTGCATAGAAGACTTGGAGTGTAGTCCAGAAAGTTGGGTGGGAGTGAGAGGACTCACCAGAGACAGAGTGGGGAGCAGAGCAGGCAGATCTACAGAGACGCACTGCTGAGGGGAGCAGCAGGGAGACAGGACAGGCCTGCTGCACCCCGTGGGTCACTCCCTGGCTGGGGATCAAACTCAGGCCATAGCGGTGAAAGCAATGGCCACTAGGGAGACCCTCCTTTCCTCGCTTTGTCCTTTTCCTAATAAAACTGCCCTTTTGAAACGTAAAATGTGAATGTCTGTGTACGACGTCTTTCTCCTAACAGTGCATTTCTGTGGGCCCCCCAGGGCTGGAGCTGCTGGCTGTTTTATAATCTGATTACTAGTTCAACATGATCATTAGTAGGGCTCTGTCAACTTGATGTTTTTTCTCTGTCTCATCTGGTTTTTGTTCCTTTTCTCCCACCTTCTTATGGATCAAGCATTTTGGTATGATTCCACTTGCTCTCCTTTGCATTAACTGCGGCTCTTTGTTTTGTGACGTTAGTGTTTGCTTTAGGGTTTAGCCCAGACTACCTTCAAGGGACCTACTACCAA